AATACGTAATTATCTTTCTCAAGAACAATTGTGTTTATATACAAAATATCATCATCATCATCATTGTTCATGTTGTGAATTAATCAAGTAACAGTGGCAGTGTATGTCACACACGGCTTGAGGCCGATTCCTCCATTTCCGTCCTGACCTATGCAATAAGTTCAGTATTATGGATGGAATCCAGTCCTGCACTGTTGACCTCTCTCTTTTCCACGTTCGTCGTAGTGGGTTTTTTTGTGTGCGTTCTCAATCCCTGTATTTCATATTTTAGTGCCTGTTTGGTGGTTTTCAGTTTGTTTCTTCTCAGAAATGTAAACAGCATATATATATGAACCTCACCAGTCTCTAACAAGGTGCTAGTGCTCATCACAGGGTATCTAAAAAGGTGCCGCTAGTCACTACAAGGTCTCTGAAAAGGTGCCGGTACTCACCACAGTGTCCAAAATGGTGCCGCAATTCACCCCTAAGTGTTTATTACAGAAGCCCTAAGATATATGCTTGAAAAAAGGTGCCCATGCTGTATACAGTTGCGCACAGTCAGGAAAAAAGAAGCCCTCTGAGGCAATTAAAGACATTGAATATTGAATTAAGAATCTACATTTCAGTATTCAGGACACTCCTAAAAGCTCTACGTCCCCATCTTAGCAAACGAAGAGTTCCAATTCAGATGACACCAGTAACTTTCTAATTGTATATCCCTTGAGTGTTGAGCGTTGGCCAGATCGCTGGTAACTTCCCGTAATAATCTGTCTGTGCCTCCGCACTGTTCATTCGCTCCCAAAGGGCCCTCACAACATCTAGCTTGCCATACTTCAATTCATCACCAAGTGGTGCAAAACCAACCAGTCTATCTGCATGCTATCGTTTCCCAGCACACTAGCATGACATTTAGAGAATATACAAAGAAGCGCTAACAACCAGGGAATTCTGGAGTGATGCTTGCTACAGCACGGAGAATGTCTGTCTCCATCTTTCTCAGCATACTCTATGAATCAGTTAAATCACGGCATGGGTGTACAGCTGATTCTGAATCAAGTGGGAGGCAGCAGAAACTGCATCCACTCCAGTTCTCAAACTAGACGTTGAGATATCATATGCCAGGCTTTGCTGCACTGAGCGACGTCCATTCGGTTTTGCCATGAACCCCCTGGCACTTCGTCTGCCTATTAAGACAGAGCAGTGAAGACTTAGGAAGATATCTAGCTTGT